CAGTGGTAAAGGTCAGGGTAAAAGTAAAAATGTTTAAGCGAGTTAACAGTTAACCTTTAAAGAACACACTTAGCACCTGTAATAATTTTTCCAACGATGTAGACTTTTTTAATTATCCTTCCTTCTCATCTTTTAAAATGTCTGTCAAACGTGTACTTAAAGTCGTTATAGAATTGTTTGTTTGTATAATTTTTTTTTTGTATAATTGAGCACACTTTGTAAATGGTACCAAACCATAAATAAACTATTATTAACAGTTAAAATTAACAAGAGTTTTTACTCCATACCAGAAGGTAAAACTTTTACTTGGTCGTTTAGTCATAAAAGGGTTACTTTTGTGACGTTTGCGGAAAAAATATTTGTCTAATTATATTTTATTTTATACTGTACGGTAAACTTTTTAGATGTCAAAAAGTGTCCACAATCAAAAAAAAAACTCTTTTAAAATTGCAAGGATTACAAAACAAGAAAAACTGAAAGCAGTATTAAGAACTATGGCTATTTCGCATTATGAAACTACATGATTTGTCGATTAATTACCTTATACTTAAAACTAAATAAAAAAAAATCTTTAGGAATAAGTTTAATGAAATAAAGGGTAAATTGCTTGTGTTGATAACTATTTTACGAACTTTCTAAAATGTTATTTTGTTGATGGGGTGGTACTTTTCAAAAAAAGTTGGAAATTATTGAATGATGCTTGATGGAGCTTGCAAGGATATTACCTTGAAAAACAAAATTTTATTTTTCAGATTCTGTGAGTTTCATAATTAGGTAGATTTTTTCTGAATTGCCCTCGTATTTATATTTTATTTTCCTTATTCTTTATCTTTATATTCTTATATCTTTGTATTTTAAATCTTTTTATTCTAATTTGAAAGACTTGCAGTTGACGTGAAGTTATGCATAACTGTGCAAGATTATTAAAAATACGTATTGTTGCAGAGCATATTTTCTATAGATAACAGTTTTATGGTCGTTTCTTGAATACTCGGCCCCACCTATATCGAAAATGAAATGAGGTGAATTCATTAAAAGGCCACAGCAGTTAGTTTACTTTGTATCACGCTAAGGGACCCACACCCGCCTAGAGAGAGCCACCGCTCCTAGAGACATCTCACGGGAGCCGCACCTCATCTACGTAGTGTCCGCAGTGCTAATTTACTTACATTCTCGCCGCTTCCTATCAGTCGTCTCATCTGCACCACAACTTTGCTGGAAATGTATGAAAAAAAGTTATTTATGAGAGCGGCGGCATTGGGAATTGTAGAATTAGAAGTGGCGAAGCACGTGCTACGTTACGCTGCATGATTACGGCATCCGCTCCGTCACGCGTCAGATATTCCGCAACCCTTCACAAGACGCACGTCTTAAGAAAGCGGACAGGAAGCTCAACACATATGCCACTTTGTCTCGTTAACAAAAGCTTTAAACATTTTACGATGCTGCTCAGATCCTGTAATTTAGCTAAAATATTTTAAATATTTTTTATTTAATTTCAGTAGGTATACATGTAGACATAATTAAGAAATATAATTAATGATCTATTGAGAGAAATAGAAATTAAAAACATGTGTTTAATAAACTTAAACAATTATTTATCTTGTTACAACATCAAATAAAAATTTAGAAATAAAAGATCAACCGAATTAAAATAATTATGAGTACTAAAGCCAAATGAATATGTGATTATTTGTGACAATTGTATTATTAATGATGGTGTAATTCAAAAATTTTCATTCAGTAAACTTAATCTCTACGTGAACAATTTGATTGAACTGAAAATAATTACAGGTAAAATATAAAGGTGCTAAAGTCCGATACTTTCATATGAAAATTGTAATCAATAATAATAACAACAATAATCCGGTGGAAAATTCTGTCAATCATTATCCTGTTTACACATGGCTTAGGATTAGAGGCAGTAGCTTTATTAACGATGTTATAATTTATAGGAACTCTCCTACTCAAAATTAGAAAAAACTATAAATAATCATATTAATATTGTTGTATTAGTTTTTTCGAAGACTTTTGTCGTTGCTAGATCGGTATATCTCCACCAGACCATAAGGGCACGCGTCCTATCGTAATCACTGAAGGAGAACATCTCAACGGTCTCGTGTCTTATGTTGTAATTCAAGGGCTGCCTCAAACAGGTCATATGGCAATTTAAAATTAGCCGTTAAAAAGTGGGGGTTGCGTCTTCTAAGATGATTTTTAAAAATAAAGGGACAAGGCGTTTTAGTTCTTCAAGAACCGTTCTGTGTGTAAGAAAGACATTTTTATAATTATTTTGCTTTCTACGTAATGTTAGAAATCGGTGTGCATTATTTAATGTGTGATAGTAGGTTTTTAATTAGACATTATCAGTAAGTATTCTCTTTAATTATTATTTCATTTATTGAATAAAATACAACATTCTCATAAACTAAGAATTTAAGTACCTATTATAACAATTTATTTTACTGACAAAATTATCAATAACATCACATAAATAAACAGATTTCAGTTCATCAAAGATTTATTCTAAATATAACTACAAATGCCATTCACTTATTATCTATCAATTATATCTCAGACAGATAGTATAGGTATATAGGTTGTACGTTTCATTCTAAAGATATAATAATTTAAATTTAATTGAAGCCATTTATAGACTGCATTTACATTCACAGTAACTACGAGTATTTATAGAAAATTGTCTAAACATTAAATTAATTTAAAATTTATCCATGTACAAATTTAATTTAAGCATCAGTGTGGTAGGTATAAGTTTTATTGTTTTGAGAATTTTTAAGAGTTAGTCTGGCCATTATTAATTTTTAGTGAATATATAATAAATTAATTATTTACTATAAGCATTTGGTCTGCGCAAAATTTGTTATAGCACACCGAAAAAAAATAATTACTAGTGTTTAATTGTTTTTAATTACTAAGCTACTATGCGTAAATTTGTGAAAAAAATCATTTGGAGGTGTGTGTACCTGAATATTTATTTTATATTATTGACTTTTGAACAATATTAATGGAATACATTAAGAAAATTGAGCTTGAACATAATAATTGGAAAATTAAAAACTGTCATCGTGCGGTCCGAGATGATTAATTAAATTTGATTTGTTTGCCAACAAAACAATTATCCCGTGTGCACAAAAAAGGACGATTAACTAGTAAATGTAAATAATAAATAAATTGGCCGAACGACATAAATAAAATTAATATGAAATAAAAAATTGCTCAATATATTTGTGCATAATTAATTAAAAAGGGTTAAATTTTTATACCACTCAATGAACACAATGTAAAACCGTAAAATGTATTAATAGGTGTCATTACGCTACCCATTGAAAAAGTGGAACTGGGAAAAAAGTGCAACTTTTTTATTTTTTAACTGCACAACTCTGGACACCTGTTGTTGGCTGCTATTGATGGAAATCAATATTCTGTGTCTCAGTTAACATATGCGCTAGTTTAAGCGGACGTTGCATATCGATGCTCATACGATGCCACCCTCAATAAAATAAAGAGCCGAAGCTTGTCTTCGAGAAAATTAATAGAATTATTTTGGTCACCAGATGGCCACTTTACCAATTAAATCGCGACTAATACATTCAACAAGAAATACGAGATGACCCACCAAACCCAAACTATAATTTAAGCCGGAAAGAGACATTGACCAATATTCCAAATAATAAACAAAAGTTTTGCAAATCTGCTGAAAATCACCACCTAAATCAAAAATATGTTAACATTTTTTAAAATAATAAAATATAAAATCTATACGTAGATGAAAATAAATTAATTATTTTTTTTATTGTATTATCTTAGTTTACTTAAATGTTGAAAAGGCTTTAACCGATTATGTTTAAATTTGTTTGAATTTTCAGTCGATATTTATTTAAGAGTTTTTTTTTTTATAAATACAGGTGCGCCAGAACTACTCGCGCTCCAAAGAAGGTAAGGTAAGATACCAGAAACATGAAAAAAATGTAAAAAAAATTATCTATAAAAATTTCGAAGTTATGAGAGTTGACTTATATCAAGTTTTTTTTCTACAGGCTATTAGAATAGGAAACAAGGAAGCTGGATCCTGTAAAAAAATTGTCATAAAAAATGTCAAATGCCAAAAAATAAATGTCAAAATTTTTTGACAGATAGAATTTTTTGGAACCTGTTCCTGGTATCTTACCTTATGTAGCATTTATTTCTGGGGTGCGAGTTCTGGAGCACACTACAGGTAGATACAATACATAAAAAAATATAACAAAAAGAAGTTGGTTAGTTTTGTTTAGATCTAAATTAGTAATTGATTATCGTTTTAAAAACTAAATGAAGCTGAAAATAATCAACTTTAATTGAATCAGCAGAATTTAAAAAAGTTTTAATTTAACGAATCAAGATTTTGAAAATTTATTTTCCGATGGATTTTATTTTTGACCTCGATTAAATATTTATAAATTATTGAATAAAACAAAACTTTGATTCCGTCACGCTTTTTCTGTCGTCATGACTCATGTGTTAATTCTGTGAGTTGAGCCGGTGTCCGCAGGACTTGAGAGGGAGCCACCGATCGGCATCCTTGGCGTCGCGACGCTGCTCATGCGTCCCCCCACTCCTTGATAATGCCTGATAGTGTGCTAGAAGACGGGCATTCATTGCTATGTATCCCAAGTGTCATGATTCCTATATTAAGTGTTCGCGCCTTTTTAAACTTTAAGAACAAATTATAAGGTAAGACAATAGAAATATTTTTCTATAAATCCTCACACTTTCCATAATTTTTTTTCTTAAAATTGTCCTTAATCCCTACACTTCTTAAGTTTATCGCAAGTGAAAGTGAAACGAAAAACGTGCCGGTAAATCAAGCTGAGTAAATAAAGTTAGTTATAACTGAGAGTGTCAATAAAACACAAAAATTAAAAAGCGTTTAATTAAAAAAATGTGTCCCCAAATTGGGCTAATTAAATTATTGGCATTAAATGTCAATATTAGGCTATAAAATAAAAATCATCAAGTGAACAGGAATAAAATTGTGAGTAAACAAATTAAAATTCGTGTTCGGGGTTTAATTTTTTTTGGGAATTTTTCACGATGGACATTATTAAAAAAGTGAATGTGAAAAGACTGTTTAAACAATTAATAAACAACTTAATACACAATATTTAAATAGCTCTTGCTAACGTGAAGTAACGTTAAAAAAAGGGATTCTTGTTGGTGAAGTGTCCGTCGATCCCCGAGCACGAGTTTAACCACAATTCTTTTCCATTTATCATTCAGTGTGCAATCTCAAATCCTAGAATAATATTTTTCCAATAGCTATTCCATCGATTCAGACAAAACCATCCCTCTTTCAATACAAAACTACTAAAAGCCTGATTTAAAGTTATCGAACCATACTTCAGTTTTCTATCGCATCGAGTTTTTTGTGCTTATTGTAGAGAGAATCCCGATATAAAAACAATGAAACACATAGAAAGTAATGCCACCATCAAGCTAAAATACGCTGAAGTATGACTCGATGACATATTTATTTCTTATTTAAATTGCACGTGATTTGTCGCTAATTTTTGCGTAAGTCTGAGGATGAGCGCAAATCGCGCCGTAGCGCTGCCCGGAACAGTTTCAGGCGCGGGTCGTTTTCCGGGTGCGAACAGCGTTAATAAACAATGAAACCGAGAGTCGTTCTTTAAAAATCTTAGTAGCTACTTAAAAATACGACTTAATTAGGGCTTCCCCTCCGGGGGCGTGGCGAATCTGGGGGGTGGGGATGGCAGACGTCGGCGCGCGTCGTTCCCCTGCGACGTCTTGTGTCAGTCGTCGGCAGGCCTCCTGCAACGGCGCCGTCTTTCCCCAAAGGAGCGCCTTAAACCCATGTCTTAGCTAGACGCCTTCACTCCTTCGGTATCCTTCGTGGCGTAAGGACACGTTCAGAGTCCTGCGCAGGATAACCAACAACTTTGCCGACGCTCAACTCTATTCAGACTTTAACTCCGGGACTGACTCGACTTACCACTTATCCTTAACACTTGTGTTTGTGCTTCTGAAGCGGCCTTCTTCGGGAGTGTGGCGCGAGACTTTTTCTTAAAACATTTCTGGCTTCGACATGGACTTTAACATTTTGTGATGAATTTTATTATGGATTATGTTATGTAGATTTAAGGTAATACTTGCATGGTTGTTCAAGTGCAGTGACCACTAGAGCCCCTCGGTTTTATTTTAACACCACACAACAATAAATCTGCAGGAAAACTAAAACAAATTTTCTTGAATTTTCTTGAATTTATTTCAACATCGCCATATCCTGCAAACATTTTAATTTGAATACGAACTGTCCCACTCAATAATGCTTTTGTGCAATTTTAAAATTTCTAATCAAAACATTTTTATTTAACTACAACACAAAATTGTAGTAGTTCAGTTCTTGTTGAATGCATGCAATTTTACGAAATCTGATATTTTTAAACAAGTGCAAAATTTTCGCATTTTAAATTTCTATCACTATTTCTACTACAACTACAAAAAAGCAATTATTTTGCTTACCGGAAAAAAGTTGATGTTTTTCTTTCGCCACCTAATTTTCGACTGATCGACTTCCCCTTACTTGTGTCGGCTTTATAAGTAAGAACCACCCTAATAACGTCCGTTATATCAAGAGAACAATGCCGTAAACAGAATAAAGGGGTAGTTTTGCTTTTATTCGTGTTCACTGTGTAAACCTGTTTACCTCCAAATTAAAAAATAAGTCTAAAAATAGGGGAGTCGGCCTGACTGAGTGATCAAAAAGTTTACTTCTGCATGCAACTCAAAATACGGAATTGTTTTCAGTACCAAAAATAGTCAAAATTCTAAAACTGTTTAGTAGAAATTAATAGATGGGCGGAACAAAATTTACTGATATTTTTGTATATTTTAAAAAATAAAAAATTTAAAATAAAAAAGAAGTGAAAATATTTTGTTTTAGCCTGTGGTCGTTATTTTTAATTACATAGGCAACACATAATACACACATGTGGTAAAACGAGTAGCGGATGACCTTGTAAAAGCAAACCTCTATCGAATAAATTGAAGTGAACACCCCTGTAATAAAAAGCAAACAAAGTTTTATTTTATTAAAAAAATTACTGATAAACGTGGTGCGAAAATCAACCGAAAAACAGATAATACACTCATATAATAATGTTGAAAATTAGCTTTGATTACACAGGCCGCTAAAAATTTACTCGGCCGGCCAATATCCGGGTTAATTATTAAATACAATATCTGTTTCAATTACATTAATATTCACGCATATTTGGCACTGACCTACCCTGTGTGTACTACAACATTGTGAAGTGTAAACAGAGAACAGCAATCAACAACTTTACAGATGTAATCATCAAAGTTGACTGTGAAAAGAGATTGCAAATCCTTTTAGTCGCTGATATTTGCTTGCAGGAGAAGACTTGCGACTTGTAATTTTTACGCGTTTGTTTGGCCTGCCGGTAAACCGATTTGCTAAATTAATAATGTTTAAATTAAAAGGGTAATTAATCGGGTCCCAAACTATACGTTAATGCATTTTGGTTTATAACTGGCGATATCAATCGACATTGAGCATCAATGACACCCCCACCCTCTGTACATAATTTGGTCACTAGTTTACACATTATGGTTAATTGCGGTCAACCACACAATTGTTCATTAAATGTTACGCGTCAGTACACGTGCATGACACGTGTAGTGCGAAATGCAAACACCGCCGGTGTAAGCCGCGTTCTTGGCCACTTTTCTTGTTTAAATGGTAATAACGCGCTGGCGGCTTGTGGTGTGAGTCGTAATATGTGTTGCCTAGATAAGACTGACTGCGCTCTTGGTTGTCTACGTTAGCCGACTCTAAAATTGTTCACAAAAATGAGGTTTTACTGGGTGCGTGTATGGATGTATGAATTTCTCACGTGGCATTAGTTGCAATTACCGGTGAACATATCCGGTGCGGAAATAGCCCGCACCCGCCCCATACGCAAGCGCACGCAATACTATCACCACTTACTGTTTCGACTTACCACCCGCTAATTGCTAATGTACATATTGCATTCACAACTATATCACTGATGCTGACGGCGGAAGGTCACGGGAGACAGAATTTAATATTTTTTCTCTTATTCGTGGGAATATATAAATAATTTTCATTAAGCAATAGTTTTGCCCAATAAAATCTGAGATAATAATGCTCATAACTAATGGTTTTTGATAAAATATAATCTTTCAAACAAAGTTTTATTATCATATATTAAAAATAAGAATAACATTAGCTAGGTTCCATTAATAACCAAGCAACCATCACTACATTCAATACACTTTCACGCAATTCCATGTCATAATCTATATCTTACAATAAAATTGCAAAGCGATAATACCCACATCAAGCTAAATTGCAAGAAGGGTGGGTATACAAGACGACACATTTTCAAATGCCTAAAGCATTTAAAGAGTTTGTATTAGTAAATATTAGAAAAACATTAGAAATAAAATTAATTGTTTCTATTTATACAATTTATACAATGAATAAACTTAAACATAAACATAATATACCCCACAAAAATAATAAACCAAAAAATAAAAAAAAACAGATTAAAATAAAGAAGAATTAAGTTATCTATTTGCAAGTATGGAAAGAGAAAGTTATAAATGTTTGTACAGTTATTAGTTATTATATAGTTAAAAACTGATTTATAACAGATTACACCCACTAATATTTTTTTGGTTATAAAGTATAAAGTTAATTTCTGGCCAGTTTTATTTTAAAGTAAAAAGTCGACGTCAATCAAAATCGCTTAATTATTTTATATAATTGAAATTTATTTTTTTTTAAGTTAGTTTATTCCTACCAAATTTCAAGATTTGAAAATTTTGTTATCAACTGGTAAAAAGTAACATTTTAAACAAATTAGAAAAGACTTTCTAAAACCTATATTCTTATATTCAGGTTTAAAATTAGCATATTATTACTTAGATTTTGTTTAAATTTTTGGACAAAACACTATACTATGAGAACAAAATAATAAATTAACAAGCTGCACTGGACTTATCTTGGACGCATATCAGTGTTTCAAAATGAGAAGCTTATTTTACCACATTGATACAAAAAATATTGTAATTCATAAAAGAGTCAATGACCGAATTCTTTAATTAAATTAATTATAAATAATGCCTTTAATTAATATGATTACGTTGTTAATATTAGTAGCTGAAAATCTAATTCAACAATAGTTTTATTTTTAAATGTTTATACTTTTGTAATTTAGAATTATATATGATGCATTTATTGGTTCTAGAATAAAAAAGAACATTTATTCGGACTTGAACTTTTTATTAATGAAATAATAAATAAAAATTACTTATAAATTTGACGACTTGTAATAATTATCCTTTTAGCGACACAATTTGTTAATACAATAAAGAGATTAGATAGTTCTAATCTTTGTTGGGACATAAATATCTATATTTTGCCGTCCGCATTAGAATATTTACCATGTGTCGTTAATTCTTGGAAATGTGATATAATTTGTTTCGCCATGAATAGACAAGCAATTGCGCTAGTTATTGCAGTGTTTCGAAAGAGATGCACAAAATCCTATAAATAGACCAAACAAAACTGTAGTCTGTACACCTTTAAACACGTCAGAAATCTAAAGAGGTTAATTCGGTATTGATTAAATAAAATTAGAAATTTAAATTCTCATCATGCGGGTCGAAATCTTTCGACAAACAAAAAGAAACCTTTCACGTATTGTTAATTTCGCATTGTCCTAATTTAAATGAGGATGAAGAAACATTTCGGTTCAACAACACCACTTATTTTAACGCGTAGCCATCTGTTTTTTCTATCTGCAAGTTTTCAGCCGAAAGTAATTTGACTCAAACATCCTCCAGATAAATCGAGATAAAACAAGAAATTCTATACAAGGGGGTGGAGGAACTAAATTCGATATATTTTAATCAGTTTGAAGGAATGACTAATTTTGCGTTTCTTTTCCAGACTAAGTAAATGGAATCAAACTTATCAATACCAACCCTCCCTTTGAAATAAAAGGTAAGTTTTTGTTTCTTTTCATTTTTTACTGTTTTGATTAATTTTAAATAAGTTCGCGGAAGCGAATAATTTCAAAGCAAACCAAGTCCTTCAAGAGTAAAGGATTAAACTTGCAGAATCCAAAGAGGCTTTTAAGCGAATTCGCGGGGAGGCGAAGCTACTTTTATGTAGGCCGAGTTCGATTAGAATAATCAACGTAGAAGAAATTAACATTTTTAAAAATGATAATGTACCATCATAAAGGAAACGGAAAAAGTCGCGCTTATCGCACTTATGGCGATTGTTCCTAATTGGAATTTTTGCAATTAATTAGCACTCAATTCACCACAATTTTACTAAATTTCGGGCGTATCAGTGTCTGCGACCGTATACAAACCAAATCAATGTAATTATATCGTAATTCGATAATCAGATTTATCTGTTCAAGGCTAATTGGTCATAAACCAAATAATGGACGCTATTTGACTGCACCGATCTGAGTTTTGACGCCGGTTCCAAAAGTCAAATCAATCTGAAAATTTCACAAGTGTCAGCAATCTTCATTTTATAAAGCGAATCCTTATACAGTTTTCATTGGAGACAAGTCTTCCGTGACACGAGGCGTGGTCTCACTATGAAGATGTTAGATAATTCTTAATGTGTTTCTTTTATATTTTATAACGTGTCCGCCAGAAAAATCAATAGTTTTGTTTGTATGAAACAACCAAAAAATGCCAGACGATTTTCTTGGAGCCAATCGTTATATCACTTATATCAGAATCGAATCTTTATCGTATCGTCTTCGCTTCTCTGTCTCGTCGAGCGCACACCTTCCAAGTTTCCGGTGGAATTTCATTGGCCTGAAACGAGTCAGCAAGCGCGAATCAAATCTTTTTACATAACATGCTCATTGCTAAACCTCATTTTCTACTTTGTTGTCTTTATTATGGGAGTGATTAGCGTATGGCGTCGCAGCATCGTGCCGTGACAATAAGGTTATGGACCTGTTGACCATCTAGTATAGATCCTGTGCTATTATGAGAATCCAACAGAAATCGCTTGACAACAATCGCTGTTTTTCTATAGAAAATTGCTCGTTGCTAATGAATGCCGCGACCGAGCTGAACTTGGCAATTCTTTTATCCGCAACGTTCGTCACAGTGTTTCCCCTAAACAAATCATCCTTTTCACGACGATACCTACTAGAAAAGAAAAGTTATTTTGTCATGATTCACACAGATTGATGCATGATGGTTGGGTAAAAAAAATCTAGGACGTACGTAATTGTAAATCTAATTAAAATCTGAGGTAAGAGATGTAAATTTCCTGTTGTCCGGACAGGAAGCACGCTAGGATGGAGACATTATTGTTTGAATATATTGTAAGTGGGACTTGGAAAAATGTTCGGATCATTCAATGAACAAAAGCAAGAAATTGCAAATTATAAACAGGAAAGAGATAAGGACGCTAAATTACGATCTGTTTTGTTGATTACAACTACATTGCCTCTATCATTTATTTTATTCAATGCGAGACCAAACGAACAACTGGGCGCAGGACCTCATTTGCAGGCTTGCCTAGCGATGACGAAAGCTTTATCGTCGTTTCTTTGTTTCAAATTCAATTTCTCTCAATTATTGGATTAAATTGGTTTATTCGCAAACCTTACAAAAGTGACCACTTTTATGACTAAATGTCACTAGTAAAAGTTTTACTTTTCAGCCACGGAGTAAAAATTCTGTTATTGCGGCTTAAGCGGTTTGCTTTTACCATTGCATGATTGACATTTACCGATGTGGTTTCTTTTTTGTTATTTCGCTGCTTTAGCAATTTCTGGAGAGGTACAATGTAAATCATCAGCATTTAACATTTTGCACTACTAACTGCACTAGTCATGCACTAGTTAAATTAATAAACTCTTTCAAAAATCGCAACACAAAACCCAATACTGACGCGTGATGTTTGTTGTTATGATTTATGTGTTGTTATGATTTCATTACTTGTAGCGTCCTGATTACTTTGTTCATTTACTTGCTAATTATAGGTAGCAGTTGTTTGCGGATAAAATCGTATATGTTATTCAGAATAATATTAATTTAATTTTTTTTAAGCAAAAGTTCAGTTAATATTACAATTACTATATAGGTAACATTAATATTTTTTTATTAAGAACTACTACTAATTTAAACACTTTTTTGCATTGGGTTTTTTACTTATTTTTTAATTTTTTTTAATTTTTGGCTATCATTTTTTTTAATCTTTGTTAAAATACATATTAACAATATGTATTTGCTGAATTTTATAAATATGTAGGTATAACAATGACGTTTAAAAAAATTAGACATTATAAAGTTTTTATTTTTATTCGTAAAGCTAGTGAATTTTTTAAAATATTTAATTTGGATAAGTACATATTTTTAATTTTAAAACATGTATGTAGTTGTTTGGCACCTTACATCTCACTACTGCTCGGTTTCTAACTGTAGGTATATAACCAGGTAGCAAATATTTTCAAGCGGGTGATCTGTGCCTCCGAAGTTTCATTCATGACGCTAGCTTCACATAAGCTATAGTTCCCACTGCAGTCAATGTATCGCAGTTCTTCTTCTGGAAAAAACTTTGATCACCTTTTTGTTTTTAATTAAATTGTATAGTATTTATAAGTATAAGTATTTGGGTATTTTTCATTTTTTTTAATGAATAAAATTGTTGTTTAAAATAATTAAACTAAAACGTTTACAAAAATTAATTGAGATATAGTTTGGATTTTAAAAATAAGATATAATAGGTAATTAGTCTATTCCATTAAATATTTAGGTATTTTGACGGTAAATTCAAAAATTAATTTTGTTGTTTTTTGTTTAATTTTTCTAAAATAAAAATTGTGTAATCAAGCAGATAACCACCTCTATTTTTTGTCAGATTTAAAAGGCTTATTTCCTCATTCAATTTGATTCCACCAACCACAATTTGCGGCGCCGCGTCTTGTTCCGATACGACCCGATAAGAAGTCTGCATTATTGGCAAAACTAGTAAGGGGTAACGTAAGGGGTAAAACACATCTGCTAGGTAACCCTCCCCTTAAAAGAAATTACCACCTGGTCGGTGCCACGGTCTACAAACAAGGGCGATCTGATCCGCGTCCAGATGTCTACTTCGTGGTTCTTACACGCGCATATGCCACCACATGACTCCTTATCGTCACAAATTAAACTATGACGTCGGAAAACACCAGGAAATGTTTTCAACCACACAAAAGCAAATACAAAAGAGCCGTTTGACCGCAAAAGATACATATTGAAAACGTTTTATCCAAGTTGCGTTTTTCCGTAATTCAATCTTGTTTGGCTCGTACCATTTGTCTGTCCAGATTGCGCTTATATTGTAGTTCTAAGATAGCAGATGCGGTGTAGAATGTCTTTTTAAATCGATGATGGGTGTCAATACGCAAAGAAACCACTAAAATATCGAATATCCATGATCGATCAAATTCCAGACATGGATAGCTTTAATTCCATTATACTCGGAATGATAAAGCTCTTGAAAACACGACAATCACAGCAATTGGACGTTTATTATGTCACGCCGCACTTCTTAGGGCTTGAGCCCTTGTCGGTGGCTTTTATTCAGGTGAAAGATGATGACCGATTAGAGGCCCTCCTTCAGAAAATAAAAGCCTCAGATAGAAATAAACAACCACAAAAGAATTTTTAAAGTCTTTATTCTCAAAACTAGCATAAGAAGCAAGGTGAAGAAGTTAACAAAACAATATTCTGCGTTCTCCCCCACTTAATGAGGTTACTTTGAAAAATTAAAATTTATAATTATCTCAGATTTGTTCGAGTTAAGATAATTTATTTGACGGGAAGTTAGATAACAATAACGACATAACAACAAATGTATTAATCGCATCTCACGATGACTTCTACAGCGTGAATCCTGGCTAGCTAATGCTTCTCGGAGCGTGTAGTTAGCGGATATCCTTAAATCCACCTATCATATCCGCCTCCGGATTTCGCCTCTGTGTGGATTTACGACTGGAAAAAATGTTCTTTATTAAATGAGCTTAAATATTTACTAACTATCGAGTCGAGTCAACGAGATAAATTTTGTAGAAAATTACACATTTGACATCAAAAAGGACATAAAAGCATGTGTGAGCTACTTGTGGTTATTATCGCTGACGAGCACTCGACTGGTTCCGAGCTTTGCCGCGATATTCTCGAGAGGGCGCTTGTGTCACTTTTTACAAGGGCCCACATACAGAACAATTTAACAAGTTTACCAAATTATTGCAGAATTTATTAAGATAGTTAAGTGGATCAGTGTTGTGATTAATCTCGGCCATTATAATAACCACGTCAAGTGCAAATAAGTAGGTACAGACTATCGTTCTAGGATCAGTCTACAATGGTAGAGATTCCTCAAGGATTACAAAGGCCAAGTTTAGAGAAACGCGATATTGACAAAGTTTGCGACACTTCGACTTACCGCATCATCACTCCAAGACCCCTCACATAACTTGGCAAAAAAGGATTTTTTCCAAAATTAATTACAGTCGCCCTCTGGAAAGTTTCTTAACTAATTAAACCATGTCCGAGATAAATTACTTTATAACTTGAGAATTGTTCGATTCGCAAGCTATTTCCCTGAATTAATCAAGAAGATACAATTACAAGTTAAAGAGCGAGTCTTAAACTTCAATTTAATTAATCCCGACGGACTCGCAATACCAGAACTTTAAAAATACAGGTGGCTCAGTGACGTCACTCAAGACGTCACTCTTGAGGGGTCGCCTTACACAACCACCTGCTAATCTTTACAAACCGCTCCAGTCGTCCATGCAGGTTTTCTCTAGACCTTTGTATGAATGGGGGCCTCCTCCCAAGGTGTTTATCTTTTGTGCTTATCTGTCACACCTGTATACAGTCGGTGTTTCTTTAAAGCTCGCGTAATGTTTCGACTTTATAAATTATTCAAAAAAATGAGACAGATGGGACGACAGTTTGACGATCATCGCT